GAGAGAGCAAGCTATAGACTGAGAGAGAGGGTTAAAGACTGAGAGAGTTTTAAAGAGTCAGAAAGAACAGGTAATTGAATGACAGAACAGATCAGAGAAGGAGAGAGGTTAATGGGTGAGAGAGCAGGTTAATGATTGAGAGAGCTGGTTCCTGAGTGAGAGCAAGCAAGTTATTGAGCAAGAAGTTTATTATTCACCCCCATTTCGATTCACGGGGTGGGGGGGGGTGCAGAATGGGTGGTGTAGTAATGTTGGCATTTTTATTTTAAAGAGTCACTTTTCCCCTCAACCCTACACCTTCCTCTCCAGCGTTTCACCTGTGATGCTGTGCTGTCCCTTTAAGGGGTGGAAGCTGTGTGGGAGGCGCAAATGTTGCTGAGCTTTGTATCCACCAGTTTCAAGGGAGGCGGTGACTACTGGGTGAGAGTTAGGTTTATAAAACGGACAGTGTAGAGAGAGAGGGGGAGAGGGAGAGTGAGAGTTTGAACTGTGTGGTTGAGAGGTAGAAAAAAATTAGGCAGTCGGGGGGGGGCCGATTTAATTACTTATCGCCCCCCGCGTCAGTTTCAGTGAAACTGATAAGACGCGGAAAAGTTTTGCCAAAACTTTTCAAAAACTTTTTTTTTGGGAATTTTTTTCCCCCTCAAATGATTTTGGTGATCGCCCAGAATTTGGAACTAAACTCCTAGGGTTTTTTTTTTGCTCTGCCTTGTGGGGGACTTTTGTTTTCTTTTGAATTTTGAAAAGAAAGGAAGAAAAACATCTTTCTCTCGGTGTGAGAGACAGCGATGCCCCCCCAGGATTTATTGGACTATCGAGCAGGTTTCGCACCCCCGGTGCCCCCGCACAAACCCAAGCGTAGCGGCCGGGCTGCCCGCACCCAGGAGCGGTTCCTCAAGTGCGTTTTGCTCGGAGATGGAGCGGTTGGCAAAACAAGTTTGGTGGTTAGCTACACCACCAATGGTTATCCAACAAAATATGTACCCACTGCCTTTGATGATTTCTCTGGTAAGCTATAACTAATCACTTCAGAGCGTTTTTAAACACGAGAAACTTTTGTATATTTAGTCCTTCAATAACACATCTGTTGGCTGAAGGGTCACTTTTCTAATGTGTGATATTATGTATATGCATTTTTGTATATGCAGATACATCATTATGCATATTCATGTGTGCACACGTTTCCTGCATATGCTATACTAAAAGTTTTTAATTATAATTTTAAATGAACTCAAGGGTTTTATTTTTCAGTCAATTACAGTTGATTAGTGGAACATGCCATTCCAAACATGCACCAAAAGACTATGAACTGATTAGGATTTTGTTAGCATGGTTGCAGGATTGTCTATGGGAAGACAAAAGGTTGGGGAGTGTGTGTGTGTGTGTGTGTGTTTTAGCCCTGGGGGAGCAGGCATGCACTGGGTTCCAGTGTTATATGTTTTCACTATTTTCAGTTGTACCACTGACACTGGTGCATTGCCTGAAGACTGCATTTGGGAGTGTCAGCGTTGTTGGTGGGACATGGAAAACTTTCGGATTGGAGGGCTGAGTGTGACCCTTGGATATTTGATTGTAGGTAAAGTGAACTTGTGCACTGTCCCCCATCAAACACTCCCAGGGCAGGAACAGCACAGGGTTAGATACAGCACTCTCTACACTGTTCTCCATCAAACACTCCCAGGGCAGGGACAGCACGGGGTTAGATACAGAGTAAAGCTCTCTCTACACTGTTCTCCATCAAACACTCCCAGGGCAGGGACAGCACGGGGTTAGATACAGCTCTCTCTACACTGTTCTCGATCAAACACTCCCAGGGCAGGGACAGCACGGGGTTAGATACAGAGAAAAGCTGGTAGTTTTTGCACAAAATCTACCCAACTCGCCCTTTCACCCCTTGGATTCGAGTCATTGTAGTACAGGGAGAGGCCATTCAGCCCATTGAGTCCACATCCACTCCCTCCCGTCAGTCCCATTTCCGCCCCCCCACCTCTCTAATCTGTTCTGTCTCTTCACCCCCATGGAGAGTGCTAGTTTTACCTGGTGTTGCACACAGACCTGTGTGGCCCTGTAAACAGAGCTGGTAACCTTGATCATTTTTAATGACCTGGTTGCTATGGACACTGCATTTAGAAAGATCCCATAAAGGACGGAAAAGGGCAAATGGGAGAAACATGGGAGAGAGAGGGAGGGGTGGGGGGCTGAGAATGATCAGGAGGCAGAGTTGAGATCATGTTACGTCAGCTTTTTAAGAGCCTGTAGTTTGAAGGACTGTTGGCTGATAGAAAAACTGAGAGAACTGTAAAGTGTCAGAAGAAAGCAGTGCAGAGCATGGGGAGCAGGGAGAAAGTGGAAGAGAATTTATTTCACTTCAGATCAAAAGTCATTTTGCAATGTACTATTTGAGAGGGAAGCAGCCATTGGAACAGAGGAATCGGATAAATACTCATAGGATTTGGGGGGAGGGAGAAAAGCAGAGAGGGTGAGGAATGATCTGGAGAGCTTTCAATGAGCTAGCAGGCATGGCGGGGCTGAATGGCCTCCATCTGCACTGTAAGATTTTCTGTGAATGCCAAGACCATAAGACATAGGAGCAGAATTTGGCCATTCAGCCCGTCGGGTCTGCCCTGCTGTGATTGATTGGTTGGTAGGTTTCTCTTCCCTCATTCTTCACAAGATTTCCTGTGAATGCCACGTGGAGTCCAATTCCGATATGGAAAATGGAAATGCCAATGGAGACAGGGAGAGGGAGGAGGAAGAGTGTGTATTGAGGTGGGGGGGGGGAGCGGGTGTGTTTCCTTAATTCATTTTACGGGATGTAGGTGGCCACTGGCCAGGCCAGGATTTACTACACATCTTGAACAGTTCTGAGGAAAATAGTTCTCGGAGTGAAGGGGAGCTTTGGTGAATACAGTTGTGCCATTTGTCTTGAAGACACTAGATGCCCAGATCAAACAGCGCAGAATGAGGAATGGGGTCGAGAAAGAACAATGTGACAAACATCAGGCTTTTGTGACCCTGGTTAAGGGGATAAATACTGGGACAAAGCCCCTGCTTTTTCTTTGGAAAAGCTCCCCAGGCTCAATTCCATTCTCCCGAGCATGCACCAATGCCTCCAAAAGCTAGTACCTCTGACAGTGTGGCACTCCCTCGATATCACCTTGCATGTCGGTCTGGATTTTGGTTTCTAAACCCTGAAGTGGGACTTGAACTTCAGACCCTGTTATTCAGACACTCAACAGAGCCACCGTCCTGGGCAATTTATCAGATGCACGAGGTAAGACATTCAGGAGAGGGAAAAACAGTGTATTTAAACAGACAGACTTTTCCTGTGTACAAGCCTGGGCTCCCTGGAGATGAAGCAGGGGAATGCCTATTATCTGAATGATGTCTCACTTTCCCCAGCACTTGTCCCTTTCTGTTAATATCTATTGTTTGTGCATTTCGTGTCCAGCATTTTGACAATGGAAAAATGCCTGTACATATCTCTTTGTTTGAATCCTGTTTTTTTCCACTAAAATAGATACTTTTCTAAAAGTATTTAACCTCTAGAGTCTAATCGCTGACCTTGCATCCTGTCTCGATGCCAACATTGTTTTAGGGAGACAAGACAGCATTTGAATGTCTGTTGTGTTTTTTAGGTTTTTTTTTGCGACATGATATCAGTGTTCACTCCTGGAGTCCTCCACGGGGTTACAACTGTATACAGCCTTCTGACTTCGTCTAAATTGTACTAAATTTTATTCCAGCGACAGACCTGTTCCCCCCCTGGTACTGTACCCCAGTGATATACAGTGACAGACCTGTCCCC